CACCTCGCCTCCGCCAGCCAGCGCCTCAGCGCCGAGCGCGGGCGGGGGACGGGGGCCGCGGTGCTGAAGGCCAAGAAGGAGGCGCGCGGGGGTGGGGGGGGACTCGAGGGACGAGCGGGTAGGAGGACGAGGACGAGGAGAAGGAGGAGGAGGCGGAGGAGAAGGAGGAGGAGGAGGCGGAGGAGGAGGAGGAGAAGGAGGAGGAGGGGGAGGAGGAGGAGAAGGAGGAGGAGGAGGAGGACAGGAGGAGGAGAGAGGAGGAGTGGGAGGAGGAGAGGAGGGGAAAGCGGGATAGGAGGGGGGTAGGAGGGGGGGAGGATGGAGGGGAGGAGAGGAGGAGGATGAACGAGAAAAAGGAGTGATGGACAGGGAATAACGAGAGGAACGGCGAGGAAGGGAACCTGAGGAGGACGAGGAGGACGAGGAGGAGGAGGAACAGGAGGAGGAGGAGGAGGACGAGGAGGAGGGGAGAAGGAGGAGGAGGAGGAGGACCAGTGTAAACCCAAGAGTCATCAAGGGTGTTGGAAGTAACCGTCCCTCCTAGCTCCCTCTTCATAGGCCTCTACAGCGGTACATTTCCGTTGAGGGAACTGCCTCGTTGGAAGACAACCGTTCGAAGACCCTGAAGCATGCCAAAACATTGTTCTCAGGATTTCAACGCCACGGGTCAACCTGACTGCTGCGTCTTGACGATCTGGAATCCTGCCAGAACGCCATTCTTGGAACTTCGACACCGCAAATCAACATAATTGCTGCACCCGCATAATCCTGAATCCTTCCAAGACGCCATATCTGGTACGTTGATCATGGGAATCCGTGAAACTCTTCCAAGTTTTGAGACGAAGATGCGCGGCGCTAAAGCGAGAGCCACATTTTGAAAAGGAACCGCCCTCGTTCCGTGAAACTCTTGCAAATGTTTAGATTGAATTGCCGCGGCGCTAAAGCGAGAGCCGTATTTTTGAAAACGACCCGCCCTCAATCCGTGAAGCTCTTGCAACTTGTTAAAACGAATGTGCGCGGCGCTAGCGAGAACGACTTTTTGAAAGCCATTCGCCCTCAATCCGTGGAGCTCTTGCAAATTGTCAAAACGACTGTGCGCGGCGGTAAGGCGAGAGCCACATTTTGAAAACGACCCGCCCTCAATCCGTGAAGCTTTCACATTGTTTCAGAACGAATGTGCGCGGAGCTAAGGCGAGAGCCATATTTTGAGAACGACCCGCCCTCAATCCGTGAAGCTGTGGCACATTTCGAAAACGAATGTGCGCGGCGCTAAGTCGAGAGCCATATTTTGAAAACCACCCGCCCTCCATTTGTGAAGCGGTTTCCCTCTTCTTTCGTGACCTCGTCGACCACAACTTCTGGACCCGTTCGCCAATTGGACGCCCGCCCAGGAGGAAATCGACCCCGATTTGGACACCCCCTTGGTGTCGGAATCGGCCTACTCCGACGGCTGGGACCACGTTGTTTTGGACCTGGAGGGGGCCAATTCCGGCAATGAACAGACATTTTTGTAGGGATTTGCGAAGAGGGAGCTTGAAGAGGGGGCGCATTGTAACATCATTGATGCGTTGTGGGTTTACACTGGTCCTCCCTCTGCTCCTCCTCTTCCACATCCTCCTCCTCCTTCCTCCTCCTCCTCTCCTCCTCCGCTCCTCCTCCTCCTCCTCCGCCTCCTCCTACTGCTCATCATCGTCTCACTCCTCCTCCTCCTTCTCCTCCTCGTCTTTATCCTCCTCCTCCTCCTCTTCCTCCTCCTCCTGCTCATCAACGTCTCACTCCCCTCCGTCCTCCTCCTCCTCCTCCTCCTCATCCTACTCCTCCTCCTTCTCCTCGTCCTCCTCCTCCTCTTTCCCTGGTCTGTCGTGGTCGTGGCGCGCCCAACTGGGGCGCGTTGTGGCCGATACGTTCGGAAAAAAAAGCAGGCGTGCCGTTGTGCCAAGCAGGGCCCGGGCAGTGGAGTAAGTGCTCGGCGCGCGCGCGCGCCCGCTCTCCAGGGAGCCGAGTCCCGCTCTTGTGGAACAGTTGTAGGACCCCCAGGCTCCCCCTATCTCCATCCCCCCGCCTCCTTCCTCCTCTTCCTCCTCCCCCTCCTCCTCATCCTCCTCCTCCTCCTCATCTGCTTCCTCCTCCTTGCTCCTCCCTCTTCCTCCTCCTCGCTCCTCGCCCTTCGCTCCTCGCCCCTCGCTCCTCGCCCCTCGCTCCTTCTCCTCCTCTTCCTTCTTCTCCTCCTTGTTCCTCGCCCTTCGTTCCTTGCCGTTCGCTCCCCGCCGCTCGTTCCTTGTTCCCCGCTCCTCGTTCCTTGCTCATTCCACCTTCCTGAAACGTATAAGTAACTCCTCCCTGTCGCAATCCGACGACGGTCGGAAGGGCGGGCCGGGCATTTCGTTTGAGACTTCGTCACCTCCTAAGCTTTTGTAGCTTCTTACACCAGCTTCGCAGGTGGAGGGCGGGTCGCACTCGAGCTGTGGTTCTCGCGTCAGCGCCGCGCGCATCCGTCTTACACACTTGCAGCAGCTTCGCAGATTGAGGACAGGTGATGTCTCGCCTTGGTGCCGCGCACATGCGTTTTAAGAATGTGTGAGAGCTTCACGGGTGGAAGGCAGGCCGTTTTCAATATGCAGTTCTCGCCTACTTTTCGATCAGCGGCCCGCAAGGAAGAGTCCAGAGGGCGTGTCAATCGGGCTGACTGGGGCACAGAGCCAGATAGTTTGCGAACCCAGCTGTCACTGTCGACAGCCGACCGCGCATGCAGTCATGCAAGGCAAATTGGGGAAAACAAGCAGAAGCGCCGCAAGGCGAGGAGTCGCCGAGACGGCGCCAGCTCAACACGACAAAATATATTCATGGGCCGGTAGAAAGCGAAACCCGACCAGCCCCAATACAAGTCGTCTGGGGAGACGCAACTAAGCGCCGAGAATGCGAGGAGTCGCCGAAACGGCGCCAGCTCAGCACGACGAGGGAGGGAGGAGGGGGCGAAGGGCAGGCGCGGGCGGCGGCGACGAGGGCAGGGGGGGAGGAAACCAGGCCTCACTCACAGAACACTTCACGTGTTCGACGCTCACTCACGGAGCCCTCCTGCGCTCGAAGCTGAAGCCAATGAACCAGGGACCTGAGGACTTGACGTGACGTCGAGTGTATTCGAGCGTTGCCCGGGACAGGCGACACAGGCGGCCGAGGACCCAACAGAGCGTTGCCCATGGCGAGCCAGGATGGAAGGCCGTCGGCGTCGCGCAGCGGGACGGGCCCGTCGTGGGAAGACTGAGCCAGCCAAAGGATGAACCACTTGTGCAGAAGTGTGCCTTCCCTGGGCCCACCCGCAGGTGGTGTCCGAATGGCCCGCCACCGCAGTCGTAAGACAGAGGATGAGAAAGAGCCACGTGGCGACACAGGCAGTCGAGGACCCAACACGGCGTTGGCGGAAAGTAGTCAGGGGGGAAGGCGCCTGTCTGGTGGGGGGGAAACGCCACCAGAGCAAGGCCACCTGTCGTCGGATGTTCAGCACCACAGCGTCGATGGCGTCAGAAGGGGAGGAGAGGAGGCGCAGCCGATAGCCGCAGAACATTTGAATACAATAGGAGGAGGCGCCGGATGTTAACGCCTCCAGACGAGGACCCAACACGTGAAGACGGTGTGACGTTGGCGCGTGGCGCGCCAGGTGGTAACACCGCCAGTCGAGGACCCAACACGTGAAGTCGGTAAGTCGTCGGCGAGTGGTGCCGCCTGGTGGGGGGGAAACGCCACCCGGGCGACCGTCGGACGTCGGGAGCGTGGAGCACATGGGGGGGGCCTTCGGCCTGCCGCCCCAACCACCCAAAGTGGGGGCCCAAGCGGGCGAGACGGGCTCATGTCCCCGAGGACAAGGCAAAGTGAGCCGTGGGCAGGATTATTGCAGCCAGACCACACGGGCTAAGAGCCCACGTTGTACCGTGGGGGTCTGAACGCAGTGAGAGTGTGCACCTCACTCCCAGGAGGTGACGCATGTATTAAGGCCGGGGCCTGTCACTGCGATGAAACGAGCCCCCATCGTGAAGGGACTGCCAACGGTTGGTGTGGCCCGGGGGGGCCATCCGTCCGCGACGTCTTCTCTTCACTCATTGCGTGCCTGTGGGCAGCAATGTGACTTCGAGGACCATGGGGGCCCCTGCCAGTGTGGAGCGCGTCTTGTGAACGTCACCCGTCGTCGGCCAGCCACCGCAGTCGTCGAGGGCGTCAGGAGGGAAGGGGAGGAGGCGCAGCCGATAGCCGCAGAACATTTGAATACGTGGGGGGAGCGGAGGCAGGTGGTAGCACCGTCAGTCGAGGACCCAACACGCGAAGTCCTGGCCAAGGGCACTGCTGCTCACCATGGGGGGAATCGCAGGCGTGCCCTGCGCTGTCGGAGGAGGAGGAGAGGAGGAGGCGCAGCCGATAGCCGCAGGATCTGGCACGTGAAGTCGGTGTGCCGTCGGCGCGTGGCGCCGTCGTGGGGGGGGGGGGAGATGCCACTTGGTCAGCACCACAGCGTGCGTGGAGGATGGGGGGGAGGGCAGCCGATAGCCGCAAATCGGGTGAATACAGAAGGAAGGAGAGGTGTAGGTGGGCCCGGCGACAAAGACTGCCGAGGACCCAACATGCCATGCGCGTCTCGTCGACCACAGTGGAGCCCAGGGCCTGATTCCAGCTGGAACCGCCCTGCACGTGGCACCAGTTCTGGTCCAAGGCGGCCGTGTCGCTGCAGCCCTCGTACGACTCCGAACCCCGTCGGCATCGCCATCGGAGTTTCACTCCGTCATGCAATTGCGGGAGCCGCACTCGCGCCACTTGCGCGTCTTGCGACCACGGAGGAGTCCAGGGCCTGTTTGCAGTTGGAAGCCTTGCACGTAGCACCAGCACTAGTCCCAGTCGGCCGTGGCGTTGCAGCCCTCGTACGATTCCATAACCCCGTCGGCAACGCCATCTTAGTTCCACTCCGTCATGCAGTTGCAGGAGCCTCACGCGCGTCACTTGCGCGTCTCGCCGACCACGGTGGTGTTCAGGTACTGTTTGCAAGTGGAACCGCCCTGCACGTAGCGCCAGCTCTGGTCCCGGTCGGCCGTGGCGTTGCAGCCTACGTACGACTCCATAACCCAGTCGGCGTCGCCATCGTAGTTCCACTCCGTCATGCCATTGCCGGAGCCGCACTCGCACCAATTACGCGTCTCGCCGACCACTGTGGAGCGCAGATACTGGTTGCAATTGGAACCGCCCTGCACGTAGCACCAGCTCTGGTCCCAGTCTGCCGTGGCGCTGCAACCTTCGTACGATTCCATAACCCCGTCGGCATCACCAACGTAGCACCACTCCGTCATGCAGTTGCAGGAGCCGCACTCGCGCCACTTGCGCGTCTCAACGACTGAGGTGGAGCCCAGGGCCTATTTGCAGTTGGAACCGCCCTGCACGTAGCACCAGCTCTGGTCCCAAACGGCCCGGCGTTGCAGCCCTCGTACAACTCCATAACCCCGTCGGCATCGCCATCGTAGTTCCACTCCGTCATGCGGTCGCAGGAGCCACACTCGCGCCACTTGCGCGTCTCGCCGACCACGGTGGAGTTCAGGGCCTGGTTGCAATTGGAACCGCCCTGCACGTTGCACCAATACGGGCCCCGGTCCGCCGTGGCGCTGCAGGCACGTCCGACAACAGCTCGTCAGAACCAAGAGGAAGAAATAATGAGACCCCCAATCGCGCTGATGAGTCCAGTGTACAACTCGTAGTCAACAGAGAAGGTGGATCCCATAGTAGAGACCCAGACTGTCCACGGTATAGCCACACGCGCAGCACGCAGACAGAAGGGAACATAGCTGAAGTCGACGGTATAGCCACACACGCAGCACGTAGACAACAGCAAGAAGAAGAAGTAGAAGTTCTGCACGAAACAGAAGTCGAGACACGACGCACACGAACAATATCCCTACCGCAGGCCGCGTTTTGCAGGGCAGCGACGGGTCTGCTGCCAGTGACCGCCCTCCACGCACCTGATCCCCGTGTGAGCGATGCCACGAGGGGGCCGCAGAGGGGGATGCACCGCGGCTTCCGCAGTCTAACCCGCTTCCGCAGTGACTTCCGCTCCGATCCACGCCCGAGTTTCTCGGGTCCTTAAGCGTCCGTTTTCCTCGTGTCCTTAAGCGTCCGTTTTCTCCTGGCCGACAGTCGTTTGTGGTCGCCGTCAGGGACGACGTCGCGGTCGCACTCGAGGTCAAGAGGTCCCAACGTGGCGACGCAGGCAGCCGAGGACCCAACATGGCGTAGTCGGAATGTAGTCAGTGGGAAGGCGCCAGCCTGGTGGGGGGAAAACGCCACCAGAGCAAGGCCGCCAGTCGGCGGAAGTACTCCGTCGCAGGAGCTGGGGGAACAACCTCCACAGCAGTGGGCCGGGCCCGCCGTGGGAAGGAGGAGCCTGCCAAAGAAAGTGCCACTTGCGCAGGACAGCAGCGTCACCAGTGGCAGTTACCCCGTATGGGTCAGAGTAAGGGCCGGCGAAGGGCTACGTTGTCCTGTGTCCGGATGGCTGTCCCGTGGTCTCCCAGCGGAGGGTGGCTCACAGTGCCACGTGAGCCGGGCGCCACCGACCCAGGTGCAGCTGCCACTGCCGGGCCCAGTCGACGTTGAGGCCCAGCGCGGCACTGAGGACCCGGACGTCGCACTTGTGGCTGCGGAAGGACTCCAGGAAGAGGTGGCAGGTCTGCGGGTAGTGCCGAAGCGGGTCGAGCGCGCCCTTGCTGCCGGGCACAGACTGCCGCTTGGCGAAAGCGTGCTGGGTGCCAGTGAACATCGGTCCTAGTGTGACTTGGAGTCGTCGCATCGCTTCGCCGGGCGTCTCCCCGGGGAGGTCCCACTGGATGTTGTTAATTCCTGTTTTGTACAGCTGCTGCCCCGCGCGGGGGTCTTTGGGTTCTGGCCATTGCGGCGGGCTGGGCCTCTGGTGTGGACGTGTGTCCTGGCCGCCAGTTTCCACCGCGCGGGCCTCGCTGCCCTGGCTGGGGGGCTCGCGATCTGCTCGCGACAGCTCCAGCTGCGCGCCTGGCAGGACCCCGTGGGGAACTGCAGGCCTCAAGGTTGGCCGCCAGGCTGGCACGGCGCGGGGGGAACTGCTCACAATTGGGAGGCGTGTGCCAGAATGGGGGCGCCCATGTCTTGCAGTAAGAGTGCCCTGCGCAGCATTGAGCGCCCGCATATCGTGGCCCGAGTCGTCTGCCTCAGCCTCGGCCTGGGGATGCTCTCCTTGCACAGTGCGGGGGGGACATGGCACAACCTGTGGGTTGTGCCCATGTCCTGCTGCGAGAGTGCCCTGCGCAGTAGGAGGAGGAGGAGAGGAGGAGGCGCAGCCGATAGCCGCAAGATCTGGTAAATTGTAGGAGGAGAGGGGATCGGCGATGCATCCTCTCGCGGGGCAAGTCGAGTCGTCTTGGATGGTTCTTCCCTCGTAGGCGTGCGTCCGCGTATAGTGGCCCGAGTCGCTGCCACAGCCTCAGCCTGGGGATGCTCTCCTTGCACGGTGCGGGGGGAACCTGGCACAACCGCGTCGTTGTCGGCGTCAACGTCGTCCACGTCGGCGTCATCGGCGTCGGCGTCGGCGTCGGCGTCGTTGTCGACTTCGACGTCGGCTTCGGCTTCGCCTGTGCCGAGATATGGGTTGTGCCCGTGTCCTCCAGTGAGAGTGCCCTGCGCATGAGCCGTGCACTGGTCACTGTATGCTGCCTCCACTCGAGGGTCGTTCGTATGAGCCGCACCCTGGAAACTGCATCCCGGAGGACAGCTGGCGCACTGGTTGCACTTTGGGGGAAATTCCGCGGCTTCCGCAGCCTCCGCCGTCTTCGCCGCGTCTTCCCCCACCATTCCTCTGTCTTGCTGGTGCAGAGGACTGCTGACGGGCAGTTTGACCTGAGGGGGGTACTCCGCGTCTTCAGCAGCCTCCGCCGTCTCCGCAGCGACTCCCCGTTCCTTTCTTCTGGCCTGCTGGTGCAGCTGAAGGGGGGGGCGCATGGCACAAACCTGTGGGTTGTGCCCATGTCCTGCTTTGAGAGTGCCCAGCGCAGCAGGAGGAGGAGGAGGGGAGGAGGCGCAGCCGATAGCCGCAAACTCTGGTAAATTGACGGAGGAGAGCGAGAAGGCGATGTATCCCCGCGTGGGGCAAGTCGAGTCGTCTTGGATGGCTCTTCCCTCGTAGGCGTGCGCCCGCGTGTAGTGGCCCGAGTCGTCGGCCACAGCCTCAGCCTGGGGATGCTCTCCTTGCACGGTGCGGGGGGAACCCGGCACAACCTACAACCTGTGGGTTGTGCCCATGTCCTGCTGTGAGAGTACCCTGCGCAGTAGGAGGAGGGGGAGAGGAGGAGGCGCAGCGGATAGCCGCAAGATCTGGTAAATTGTAAGAGGAGAGGGGATCGGCGATGTATCCTCGCGTGGGGCAAGTCGAGTCGTCTTGGATGGTTCTTCCCTCGTAGGCGTGCGTCCGCGCATAGTGGCCCGAGTCGTCTGCCACAGCCTCAGCCTGGGGATGCTCTCCTTGCACGGTGCGGGGGGAACCTGGCACAACCGCGTCGTTGTCGGCGTCTACGTCGTCGACGTCGGCGTCGTCGGCGTCGGCGTCGGCGTCGTTGTCGGCTCCGGTGTCGGCCTCGGCTTCGCCAGCGTCGTCGGCGTCGGCGTCGGCGTCGGCGTCGTCGGCTTCGGCGTCGGCCTCAGTCGTTTGGTGGTCGCCGTCAGGATCGACGTCGTGGTCGTGTTCGTGGTCGTCGTCGTCGTCGTCGTCGTCGAGGCGACGGCGTCCGTGAAGGTCGTGGTCGTCGTCGTCGTGGACGTGGTCTTGGTCGTCTTCGTAGCCGTCGTGGTCGTGGTCGTCGCCGACGTGGTCGTGGACGTGGACCTCGGCCAGGCCGGGCGGGTCGTCGTAGCAGACGGGCGCCTGCACGCACGGCTCGCTCTCGGGGGCACGCAGCGGCGAATCCGTGTAGGTCGCCCATTCGCCCCAGGCGGAGCCCGTGTGGTTGTCCTGGCTGAACGTCCCGATGATGGCCGTCATGGCCAGGCGGCCTTCGGGCAGCTCCGCGCTCAGGGACTGCTTGTTCTTCTCAGGGTCCTCGATGCCGCCCCCCTTGAGCCCGCCGAGGGCCCCGAAGCACGACTTTCCGAAGCCCGCCTCGGTCCTGCTGAGCTTGCCCAGAGGGTCCGCGGGGTCCTGCCTGGGCGCGTGAGGCTCGAGGGAACCGTAGAACAGGAGCGTTTGCCCCCAGTCGGCACCAGACACCTTGCCATGAGCGCTCAGGCCCCTCGGAGGACTCGTAGCGGCAGGCCCCTCGAGGGCGACACCTCCCGGCCACAGGAAGAAATCCGTCCCAATGTACCGCATGGCGGCCCACATGGTCTTGGTCTTGGTCTTGGTGGGGGGTATGCACGCCCGGACGGCGGCCCCCGCCGACCTATCAGAAGACGAAGCGCAGAGGCCGACACGAGATACCCGCCAGGAGGAAGGGGGAGGCGGAGCAGGAAAAGGGGGAGGAAGGGGGAGGAGGGGGAGGGGGAGCCGGGGAGGAGAGGATATCCCGTAGCGGGCCACAGGGACACCCGAACACTCGTTTGCGCAGGGTCCAAATGGTGGGCGGTTCCCCCTTGAAAAAGCGGTTGGGATCACTGTGCACCCGTACATCCCAGACAACGTACACAACATAATAGCGTACCATACACACTCATGAGTACGCACAGAGTACACTCAACACACACACTCATGAGTACGCACAACATACACAAAAAAACATACACGCACAGTGCGTATCCCTTTATGCGACTCCCCGTCCATGCGACGTTCCCTCCCATACGGTTCGCAAGCGGCCTGGATCCTCCGAGGTTGCATCACATGCCAACAGGGTGCAAGACCCCCACCCAAAGAGGCCCGGTGCAAGACCGGACCCCGGCGCAGCGGGCGGCCCGAAGGCGAAGGCGGCACAAGCAACCAAGCGAGAACACGGGCATGCACAGCTCGCAGCTTGGCGAAATACAGGATTACGCTCGAAGCCCGCCAGAGTTCCCCCACCCACCCTCCGAGAAATGCCAGTAGAACCAACCGTTTCCAAACTGCTCGGTAGCCACTGGCGTCCCTGGTTGCCTGGCCAAAACATGCAAGGTCGACACCTTAGGACCGGCAGCGCGCCGCACAGTAACCCGCGCTCCACCTACACCAGGGTGCGGTGGTCAGGCGCCCCCCAGCGCTAACGACTAGTGTGTGGCCAGGGGAGATGCCCGGAGACATCAACCGCCCCCGGCCCAGGGACTGTCGAGTGATGCCCTCCCGCCCTGGCAGGAGACACGAGCAAGAACAAAGGGAACGAACGACTCAGGGCACAATGCGCACAGCGGACTCGGAGTCTATCCGCTGTGCACTGCAGGGGTTTGCCGTGCCGGCTCGCGCAGCATTTCTGAAAACCATGGACTAGTCTCCATCCTATGTAGCCGGCCCGTTGCCCCACGACCTGGCCGGGCGGCCTGGGCATCCATGGGTCCACATAATCACAAGCGCGCTAAACGAGGCACAGTAGCTCCTTTCCGATTCGGCGGTCTGTGGACGCGCCGGTCCAGATGGCGAGTCTCGACCCGACGCCGCGGCCCAAGGAGCAGGGCGTGGGGCGGTGAGGATCAAAGCCGCGCCCTGCGCTGAAGAGTCTGAGCACGAACAACCAAACCAGTACCACACAGCCCAAAAGACCCTCCTTCGCAAAACAGTTATAGTTCATGGAGACTCGTGGCACGAAACACACGCACAAGCACAAAATACATCACGCACAATAAAAGATTGGAAACACACCTCCGAACGCAAGCTCCTTGAACCAATACTGCATGACCCCGCCGCCCGGCGGCCCACATGGCAATGCGGCCGTGCTTGATCTCGGTGCGCCTCCTCCTGTCGACGACGTCCGCACCGCCGTCCTTTGCAAGGCCGAGCGGGTCCCAGTGGCCGACGGGCGCCTGCAGGCCCCACACGCTCTCGACGGCGCGCGGCGGTGGATCGGTCGCCCAGCCGCCCCGGGCGGAGCCTGAGAGGCCGTCCTGGAGGAAAGTCCCGATGATGGCCATCATGGCCAGGCGGCCGTTGGCCAGCTCCGCGTTCAGGGACCGCTTCATCTTCTCAGGGTCCGCGATGTCGTGGTCGACGTCGTCGTGGTCGTCGTCGTGGTTGACGTCGTGGTTGGGTTCGTGGTCGTGGTCGTCGTCGTCGTCGACGTCGTCGAGGCGACGGCGTCCGTAAAGGTCGTCGTCATCGACGTCGGCGTCGTGGTGGTCGTGGTCGTCGTCGTCGGCGTCGTCGTCGAGGTGTCGTCGTGGCCGTGGTGGTCGTCGTCGACGGCGCCACACGAAGGCCGCGGCGTCACCGTCCTTCGCGTAGCCAGCGGGGTCCCAGAAGTCCACAGGCGCCTGCACGCCCAGCTCGCACTCGAAGGCGCGCAGTGGGGAGACCGGCGGCGGGACCGGCGGCGCGACGCCCAGCTCGCACTCGAAGGCCGCGGCGGGACCGGCGGCCGCGGGGGCGGCCGCCGCGCCGGCGGCGGCCGCGGCCGCCGCGGCGGGGCCGCGAGGGCGGCAGCGCGAGCCACGGCGCAGCGGAGCGGCGCGGCGGCGTCGCCCGCGGCCAGCCGCCGCACGGCCTCGGCGGCCGCGGCGGCGCTACGCGTCGCAGTCCACGCCGAGGCCGCAGGGCCGCGGCAGGCCCGCGGCGCCAGCGCCGTCCCCGGGCCTGCAGCCAGTGCGGGCCGCAGAGGCCGCGCCGCGGCCGCGGCAGCGGCAGCGTGCGACGGCGGCCGCGGCGGCCGGGGCGCGCCTCGCCGGCGGCCCGCGAGGGGCGGCGGCGCCGGCGGCGCCAGCCGCTGCAGGCAGGCCAGGGGGGCCGCCGCAAGCGGCAGGTCCTGCGGGCCGCAGGCGAGCCGGGGCGGTAGCGGCGGCGGCGCGGCAGGCAGCCTCGCGCCGCTGCCGCCGCCGCCGCGCCGACGGCGACACCATGGCGGGGCGCGGCGGGAGCGCGGAGGGGAGGCCCCGTCCGCGCTCGCGCAGGAGGGGGGGCCGAGGGCCAGGGGCAGGCCCCCGGCCGCGGCCCAGCAAGCCGGCTCGGCACCTCGAGCCAGAGCGGCTTGAGCCAGTCGCTGCGGACGCAGTTCTCGCCTACGCGCCGCGTTTGAAAATTTGTGAAACAGCTTCATGGATGGAGGGCAGGTCGTTTTCGAAATGTTGTTATCGCCTTAGCGCCGCGCACATCCGTCGTTAGAGCTTGCGAGGGTGTCACGGGTGGAGGGTGGTCCTTTTCAAATTATGGTTCTCGCCTTAGCGCCGCGCGCAGTCGTGTTAAGAGTTAACAGCACATTCAATGATTCGCATTACTAACTTCCCAGAAATGCGTTTTAACATGATGTCAGACTGTCAGGGCGCAATACGTACGCTGATTCATGGTGTTGAGGTCTCCAGAATGTTGTTCTGACACGTTTTAGGCTCGTCAAGACGCAGCAGTAACGGTGATTCGCGCCGTCGAAATCCAGGGACTGGTGATTCGGTACAGTTCTGGATGTTCAAACTGCTGTTGTCCACGGGGTAATTCTTTCAGCGAGAATCAATTCTTGTAGGGGCCTATGAAGAGGGAGCTTGGAGGGAAGGCTGATTACATTATCGTTGATGAGTCTTGGGTTTACACTGGTCATCTCACTCTCGTCCTCCTCCTCCTCCTCCTCCTCCTCCTCCTCCTCCTCCTCCCCCTCCTCCTCCTCCTCCTCCTCCTCCTCCTCCTCCTCCTCCTCCTTCTCCTCGGACTCCTCCTCCGTCTCCTCGTCCTCGCTATCCTCGTCCTCGTCCTCGTTATCCTCCTCCTCCTCGTCCTCGTCCTCCTCCTCCTTCCCTGCTGGCGAGGCTTGGGGACCACGCCTCAACGGAGGCGGGCCCCGTCTCCTCAGGCGGCCCCCACAGCCTAAAAATGGTAAAGGGGGGCCTGCATCCATGTTTTTCCCAGGGGTCGGCATGCCTCCTCCATAGCTCCTCCTCCTCCTCCTCCTCCTCCTC